AACCCTTCACAGGCATGTGCACACACGCACACCCTGAAGAGGAAGATCAGCCTTTCTGCCATCCAAATAGGAAATTGCATTCTGCCTTCCAGAGATTTCCCTGTGCTTCAAGAACAGTGAGAGTCTTATATTTGCCTTAAAATAGAACTATATTGCTGAGTATTAAAAACCTGTTGTATGCTGCCCCAAAATGAGATTAATTTCAATGTTGCCAAATGTTAGCCATTTGTACAGCATACAGTGCAATTTATTAGGGGATCTTTGCAAACAGAAGGCAATTTGTGAACTGCAGCCTCTTCCTCATCTCTCACCTGCTCTCTTCAGGTCTGAGTTAAGCCCCGTTACAGTCCTCTATGGTACGGATGAAAAAACACAAAACTCTCTACTCGTTCTCACAAGCAACGACTGTCTTCTGTGTCCAAAAAAATTCTGTAGTACTTTAATGACACTTATCTTTGTTAAAAGCCTAAACTGAGCTAGAATGGGAGAAGATCAAATTAAATGTTTTTTTATAGTACTTGTAAACCCCACTCTAATTTACTCTAAGAACCTCCACAGCCTTATGCTGTCAAAAAACCCTACTGCTGAAAATCACACGACCTGATTTTTCACTTTACTATTATCAACTTTCAGTTTAACTGTTTTACAATTTTCAACTTCCCAGATGAGATTACAGGAACATTTCCCCATAGACTTGAGGAAACTAGTGTGTGCAAAGTGTGTGTGRGGGGATGGTGGTTTAGGGCTCTCTGTCAAGGCTGAGTCACCCACAGAGAGGTAAGGGCGCATGTTCTCCCCAGAAACTGATGCTGGAGCCAAAGCTTGTGAAAACTCCTTTATTTCCACCACTGACAGAGCCGCTGACGGGGGGAGAATCGGCACCCCTCACGCCAGGCATCATTCCAGGGCCTCGAGAATGCCTCCCTATGGGATGGTATTCTGGAGGTGCACGGGACGCCCACCACGGCAGCCCACACGCACATAGTGCTGCACCGTCTGTGCGATGCGGTACCTGCAGGGCGGCCGAGGGCTCCCGCCACTGAGGCGGCAGATGGTCACGCTCAGCCTGTTCGGGGTGGTGTAGTACCCCTGGCCATCGGGCGTCCGGGAGCATGCACGTGCCACGGTCATGCCTGGGGCGTGCACGAAGGTGTTGGTGAACTTGCAGACGGGCCTTGTCATTCCCCGCCGCGCCATCATCGTGTTGCAGTAATTACGCGCTGGCAGACGGGTCCGGGGGTTGTCCACGTGCTTCTGCTGGAAAGCCTGGTAGGACTGGCCTTGAGCCCCTGCCAGTGCTGCCAGCACCAGTGTCACGCACAGCACCCAGCCCGCCATGGATACCTGCAGAATGTGGGGTTAGAGCCATCTGGACTTCTGGGCACCCACTGGAAACCCCACCCCAGATGCTTGAATTTTCTACAGATTCCCCCTCCCAAACACCTGGGTCCCATACAAATCCCCTCCCAGTCCATGTGGGCCCATCCATGCACAACTGAGCCATCTCTGGATCTCACCTGGATGCATGGGTCCCCTACAGTTCTGCACTCCCCAGAAGCCTCTTTCGCTATGGAACTCCCCCTACCTGTTCCTCAGCTCCCTGGCTCCCCTACAGATCCACCCCATGCCCCGACACCCAGATGCCATACACAGCCTCCCTTCCCCACTGGGTGTTCAGGTTCCTTATAGACCCATCCCACAGACATTCTGGTTCCCAAAACATCCCGCACCCCTACCTGTGTGCGCCTCATGTTCCCTTACAGCCTCGGGGAGTCCGAGATCCCTACCTGCATCTCTGCACCTCTTTTATACTGGTCCCAGCTGTGCCCAATGGGCCAGGATCCACGAGGGGCAGGGCAAACAGCAAGTTCCAGGAAGTATCAGAAGGAAGTCAGACTTCTGGAAAGCCCCACTCACTCAACCATTAGTTACTTATTAACATGACTGAAAACCCACAGAAGCCCATAAAGGATTCCCCAATTATTTTTCTCACTGTGGAACCAGGCTTAACCTGACTTATCATTATTTTCATCATGAGAGGGAAAAAAAAAAATCACACCTGAAGTATGCGAGAAAAGAGACTTTGAAATAAAACTTATAACAACAATTTGAAGAAAATATCCAGACTGCCCTGAGTTCCATTTTTAAAACTGTCCTAAACTCCAACACAAAAAGAAATTACTGATTATTTAATAGCTGAAAGAGGCTGGAATTACTTGCCACTACTTTTTGTTTAACACAGACGATCTGTATTCTGAGTTTACTTCATGAGAAAATACAAAGCAGCTTTTCATATCAAAAGACTGACATGAAATAACACTCCYATCACAAATTAAACTCATTCTCCTTTTTCCACTTCACAGTGATGCCACCATAGAAATGAAACCTCTCTTTAAACAATGTTTATTACATATGGCATATCAAGTTCAACAAGATATGTGTCTGCCAGTAGATGCCCTGCTCAAGTAAAGCCTTTACAGGAGACTGATCCAGTAAAAAACAGCTGAGACCTCCCATTTCCAAACAGAAAAAYGAGAATACAAAGAAAACATCAAGGGTAACTTTTCTATTCTATTAAGTCCATGTTGATTCAGAAAGTACTACATAAAAGATATGGAAGAAGAATCACACCTCTGTCTGCATATGCTCTCTGCCTAACATTTCCTTCAAATAGTGACAATAATATTGGATTCCAAGTTGTCGTGTAAAAAGCACAGGTTTTGCAGCTATCACGTAGATTTAAAAAACACAACTAAAACCAGAAGGACTTTGTTAGTAAACACAGGTATACTTGTGGAGAATGACGGCTCAATGCAGCAGATACAGTGCTAAYGACAATTAAGAAAATCCTGATCTACCATAAAACTAATCTCTAAAATACTGCACACAYCACTGCCTTTCTCTGTCATGTAACTTTTACAATAAAAAAAAATACATACCAAGCCCAGGGATCAAATCCTCAGTGCCTTTACTGTGTTTACCTACAAACTCTGTATGTCAAGTTGTCTTAGTTACAGTGACCAACACGAGCAGCAAAATGTCATGGCTGTCAATGTACTTAGTTACACAATGAAAACAAAGAACTATAACAATTCTTGGCACTGAATTCAACACTAACAAGAACTATAGCTAATGTTTAACACTAGATGCCA